ATATATTTAAATATATTAATAACTATATTACTCAATAGGTTGTTTCTTGCAAAGTTGTTTCGTCCGCTCATCCTACCTTAGATCCATCTTCTATTCTCTTACCCAAATTTGATTTATTTTTTACCACATATTCTTGGATTTCTTCATATAGTAATTGAAAAATAAAATAAATTAAATTAAAATAAAAGAAATTTTAATGGGTAAGTGTTGGTTCGAAGTGGTTAATTGTCTCAATGGTTTTGTCTCTAGGAAACGATTAAGTTGATCATTCGAATAGGAGAAAATAAAAGTTAGAGCGAGAGCAAGAGGTAAGACAGGGAAGTGCGAGGAGAAGAAGAAAGGAGGAGAAGAAGACTCGAACCCTAGTTGAAGAGCAGAGAGGAGCGTCAGATGGGGCTGCCTATGTGAAAGAAACAAATGTTTTGGTGGTCTGTGCTTGGTGGGATGCTTCGTATGAAGGAGAATAGGAAAGGAGGTTGTGCGCTAGCCGAATGAAGGAAAATGGAAGGAGAGGTCGAATTGAGAGGCTCAACATATGGGTGAAGGAGTTGAATCTTACGAAGGAAGGGGAGGCCGAATCAAGCCTCAATGTGTGGAGAGGAGTAGATGAGGGGTTGCGTATGGTAGGCGAGCCAAACTGAGCCAGGTGAAGCTTAGGGTTATGCTTTTTATTTATATAAGGTATTTTGTTTATTAATTAGATGTTCTTTAAGTTATATTAAACTTTGTGTTAATAAAAGGAATTAAGGTAACATGCAATCAAATTAAAGCCAAGAAAGAATAGAATCGATTAGTAGAATAAGTTTTGGCAAGATGAATTTAGGGTTTGTTATTTAAACATTTTTATATATTAAATTTCTTTTATAATTTATGTGTTAATTTTTATTTTCATTATCTTTTATAATTAAACAAAGGTAAGGGTTTAATTTTAAGTTTGAATTAACATATTTAATTAAACATATTAAGTATTATTTTATGAAATAATGTAAAAATTAAAGATTTTGATTAGAGAAGATCAATATATTTGAAGTGGCTACCAAGGAAGGAGCAATTATGGAAATTTATTTGAGGTATGATGTTAAATCATAAAGTTTATTAAATGTTAAATGAAAGTTTTAAATGAAACTGATCAATTTATGATATAAAGCATCTTTAGATTTAGATATAGAAGTAGGATATAACAAATTAGATATGAAGAAAAATAGATTATTGATATAATATTATGATTTTCATTTATGAGCATTAAATAAGTGAGGAAATTAAATGTTCACAGTGACAAAAATCATCAATAAAAGATTAAAATGAATAATTATATTTTACATTTCAGTAATAGTACTTACTTTTGATAGTATTCTTTATTTTAATTTTTCACAACTATGTTTTATTTTATTGAGACTTAAACTACTAGTGTTGTCTTCATATTGTTAGGTAAAAGTGTGTTTGTTGACAGTCTTGCATAAATAGTTTACCTATGAAGTTATTAAATTATTATCTCTTTTTTTGTTTCTAGTAAATATTTATTTATTTAATAGTAGATGAATGCATGGTGTTTCATAAGAAAATAATGTATGCTGTGAAATATAAAAATATTATATATGTGAATGCTTGTATGTGCATGTTAAGAGGGGTTCACCCCCATGATACTGGTCGGGGATGTCAATATACCCACACACATATTTTCTTTCTACCTCAACAAATATGAAATTTAGACGACTAGCCGTTGTGCTGATGAGCGAGTATCAGTCTGGCGTGAGTAGGCACTCTACCATCTCAAATAATTATGAAATTTTGATTACTAGTCGTTGTACATATTGCTTACTATGGTGTGTATGTAAGCCGGAGAGTAGCAACTATGGTGTGTATGTACTTTTACACCTCAGACAATTATATATATATTTTACTAACTGTTGTACCGACGATATATGTATCGACCATAGGTATGTTAAGTTATTTTTAAATGGTGCTCTGGAGATTGATGTGAAAGGCAAGAGTACAAATTATACTAATGTTAAAGATGAAATATTGCAAAGTCAAAAGTTGATGCATGTAAAAATATTTAATTTTCTTTCATGAGCAAATATCATTAATGTACGATTTAAATTATTATATGATTTCCTAAGACATATTAGAAAATACCAATATACATATTGCTTACTTTTTTGTGGGTCATTATAATTTAAAAATGCAATTGCTCTATTGAATTATCTTTAGATAACTCATTATATTATTTTAATTTTTCAAGCTTAAACTTTTTAATAAGATGAATTTTAAAGGAAATAATGTGTACAGAAGGCGACATCAACAACCTTTTATTTGGTCAATTATATTTTTCTTAGTTATTCTTTCAATTTACATAGACTGTAAACTGTTGGTGATAGAAAATTAATATAGAAAATTTTATATTTAGCTATTTGACTGTCCGTTCTTGTTTTGAAAATTCTAATTCTAGAGTTGGGGTGTGATAAAAGTGGTATCAGAGGCAAGATTTTAGTTAAACAATATGAATCTTAATGAAATAACCATTAAGATGATTGAATCAAGTTATAAATATTATAAATGGAAATTTTAATTTAGTGTAATCAAATTATTTTATTTTATTTCAGAATTTTGGTTTTTCAGAAGGAAGAAGTCATGGATGTTAAAGTAGGAGCTCATATGCCCCAGAATATCACAATTGGAGTTATTGCCTTTTTTGATATGATGAATGTTGCGACTTGAGGGGGCAGGGATATATAAGTTCTTGAAGCTCTTTCAAGATATTAGACCGCCATTATTTTTAAGAGCAGGAGGGCCTGTAGAAGTTGAAAACTGACTGATGAGAGCAGAGAAAATTATAAATGGTATGACTGTCCACCAGAGAGGAGAGTTACTTTTGTATAATTATATTTGAGGTGGAAGCTGAGAGATGATGCCAAAAGAAACTACAGGAGAATTTTTATGATTGACATAGCCAATTGGTACAATAGGAGTTTGTGAGAACCTTTAGATATTGGCTTGTATCACTGTTAGTTAGGAGATAAATGCAATTTAAATTTATGAGGCTGGTGTAGGCACATCGATCAATCATACCGTATTAAGCAGAATTTACGATGTTGTTGAGATATGCATCATAACTCGTTCTAAATATAGATGAGAAATGTCACAAGTTTTGTTTCTGGATTGAAGGATTAAATCAGACAACCATTAGTGCCACTTGGGATTGAAAACTAGTCGGTGCTAGTGGAGAGGGTAAGGCGAGTGAAATTTAATTTTTAGCAGACCTAGAAAAGTAGAGACTTGCACAAGAGGAAAAGCTTAGAAGAATTGGCTCCAACAGTTCATTCTGGAGAATTTAATGGGAAGAAAATGAAACCTATTGATGATGGAGTTAATAGCCAAGCTGACAACAACACCATAGAGCCTTGTGTTAAGTGTGAGATGCTGCATCTTAGTGAATACTTATGTGGTCTAAAGGTATGTTAGTTATGCTAACAACCTTGACATCAGATGAGGAATTGTCTAAATTCTGGTCAAAGATCCATATCAAATGCTAACTCAGAGAGGGATTCAACTCAGAAGAATTTTTAGGAGAGATTTACTTTTAGAAGTGGACGGTAGAGAATGCCAAAAACTGCTATAGTGCCTTATAAGGAGAAACCAAGGCATAACATTCGATCAAAGTCTATTCCTTAGCCATTCAGGAGTCTGAAGAACCTGATGCTATTAGTGCAGATGTTAATAGAAGTTGAGCTATTTGTCATGTTAGTTATTTTATATTGAGTACTCTTTGTGTGTTTTTATTTAAGAAGTTGAGTGATGTATATGCTTAATATATATGACTAACCGCTATGCCGACTGGAGAGTATTGATCAGGGGTGAGTAGGCTTCATTGAGTTATCTTAGACAACTTATTATGTTGTTTTAATGTTTTTTTTAGGCTTAAGCTTTTGAATAAGATGAGTTATATAGGTGATATTGTGTACAAATGGCGATGTCAACACCTTGAAATGTAAACTTCAATTTGGTTAAATTATTTTTTAGCAACTCTTTCAATTTATTTTGATTGTAAACTATTAATGATAGAAATGAATGTAGAAAATTTTATATTATAATGTTTGACTTTCTGTTTCTGCCTTAGAAATTCTAAGCTCTAGGCAGGGACGTGACACTTCATAGTTAGTTTTTATACTATGATTACATTACCAAATGAAGATAGTAGACATTTAGGCTTCTTTGGATTTTGTTTTAGAATATAACTATTGGGGTCTAGTTGGGGCAAATTCTTTATTGTCTTGCTTTTCAAACTGCTGACATGTATACATTTGGCTACTGTTTTATTATTGCTGTTGTTTTCTTAAAATTTCTGTGATAAGAAGGTACTTTTGAGAACTAGATATGTTGAAATGTAATAATTAAAAAAAAAATTGTCAACTTTTTACAAAAAAAAAAAAGAAGAAAATATAATAATACCACAATAATTTTGCAACAATCTTTGCACAAAACTGTAGCCTCCCACAATGGATTCTTAATGTAAATGCTGCTTTCTAAGAAAACCTCTGTTCTTTCATTCTCTTATGTTTTGGATTCTCAAATATTTTTTATTGCCATTATCTTAACTAATTTTTATCCATTACTTGGGGGAAGCTGTATGTTCTAGTAAGTGTTACTATACCCTTTTATCCCAGGACTTTCTGACATCCAGGATAAAATTTGAGCACGCTAAGTGGAGCCTCCAAGGAAATCAATTGGATTCCTTAAATCATGACACTTCATCATTAAAATGCTTCCTTAACTCATGATACTTCATCATTTAAATGCTTACCCTGTTTCTGGAGTCTAAATTCCAAAATGAATAAATAATTTAGCATTTTTCTTTCACTGAATTATTAAGTGAGAATTGAGTTTAGTATGCTATTAAAAAAGTTGATTTGTTCAGAAAATAATAACTTGGAATGAATACTCATTTTGAATAGCATCCATTTTTTAGTTATTTTGGCATTTAATATTTATTTTGCTTGCAGAGAATTTTGAGCAATGAAGGTATTTTGGCTAGCAATGCCGAAAAGTATTCAGTAGATGCCATCATTTCTGCAATCAAGAAAGCTGTTGGGGCATTGCCTTTGTTGGAGTGTAGACGCGGTTCTTTGGAGGAACTTCAACTTTGCTTTGACAAAAAATTTAAGGTTTTCATTCAAACATTATTTTTGGAAATAGTATTATATTGTGCATAATTATATGTGAATTCATCAGAAACCATGTATCCTGCATGAAGTTTGGTATTTTCTTCATAAGTTTGTTACTAAAAGGCAGGAAAGATTAGTAGTTAGGCATAAATTGTAGATTGAAAAGTGATCTTTTGTTTATCACTCTTTTTTCTAACAAATGAAGGTAGTGGTATATTCATTAAGCTCTACTTCTCTAATATTTTTTATTGGGTTAAATAAATTTAGAATATTTTTTTTCTATGGTACGTTTTTTCCATACATCACTAAACCAATTATAAAAAGTAGTTGAGGAATTATGTGCGGAAAGAAAAGGAAATATAATAAATTGTGTCATGATAATGTGGAAAATAAGAAAATATTATTCATCTACATGGTGAGGAGTAAGCTCTTCAATTAGGTCTAATTAACTTTTGCTAAATGTCACGAACCAGCACAAGGTTTGGAATTGACCAAAACAAGAACGGATAATCAGAAGATACAACAACAAGCCTTTATTCCCCTAAGTAGGGTCAACTACATGAATCCTTTTTCTCCATTGCGCCCTGTTGAATGTCCTCCTCTTAAAATTTTTTACATCATTTTTCTATCACTGATAGTTTATAAGCTATTAGAGAAAGTAGTTTAATTGCCTTCTATACATATTATCATCTCTCGTATTCATCTTTTATTTAAAGATTTAAACCTAAAGGTATTAAAAGAATATAATGAGTTATCAAAGATAATCTTGTGAAACAATCACATTTTTAAATTACAATAACAAAAAAGAAGAAAGTGACATGTATGCTGGTCTCTCTTAATATATTCTAAAAAATCATATAATAATTTATAACATATATTCATAATGTTTGTTCATGGAAGAAATCTAGAATTTTTACACGCGTTATCTTTAACTTTATTTTTCAAGCTGTAATCTCTTAAGCTTTAATACACTTCATACTCTTAACTTTCAATCCGTTTTTGGAACTCCATTAAAACTTTATCTAACGCATCCCTGAATGATATTTTTGCATTCGCAAAACAGTTTGTGATTTAAATTACATGATTGTTTTAGGTGGAAATGTGTCCACTCACCCTTGACTGATACTCTCTCGTAGGCACAATGGTTAGTAATCTACATTTCACAATTACTTGAGGTGGTATGATAACTATTTACCCCTGATCGATACCCTCCCATCAACATAACAGTTAGTGACCTAAGCTTCACAATTGTCTAAGGTGATAGGAAAATATTTACATGTGCGGCTACATTGACTTCCCTAGCCAGTACCATAAGAGTGAAATCCTCTTAACATTCACTTACAAACATTAATGTATATGATATTTTCATACTTCACAGCATACATTAATTTTTTTTATATCACTTTGTATTCATCTATTAATGAATAAATACATGCTTACTAAAATCTAAAGGGCATGTAATAATCTAATAACTTCATAAGTAAACCATTATATACTATTTATGCAGAACCTTTAACATGCACACTAATATAACAATATGATTATATCAATGATGGTCTAAGTCTTAATGAAGTAAAACATTAATGCGAAAAATCAAAATAAAGAATATAACGTGGAAGTAAGAAACATTATTGTAATGTAGAAATATAGTTATTCACCTTAATCTTTTTTAGGTTATTGCAGTTAATCTTTAATTTTCTCTTCTATAAAATTCTTTAGTTACTTTTTCCTCACTCAATCATTTCAATCTGAAACCCTAAAATATTTCTTAAAAATAACATTATCATAGAATTAAGCATTTAATAAACGTAAATTAGGTGCAAAGTTGAAATTTACCTCTATTCCTCTTATTACAAAGTTAATAATTTCTTCTTTACTCATGACATTAATAAGTAAAATAATAATTAATACTTTCAATTAAATACGTAAGATCTCAAATTAAAAATCAACTTTAAACTTACCTCACTTACGCCGCCTCTATTGCATAATCTTATCTCAATCTCCTTTCATTTTTAATTTGATTGCTTGTCTAATTTTATTCATTGATTTGTTTATAAAATTAATTATTAATTTTAATAATTTTAAATAAAGAAATAACTTATATAAATAAATCATACCTCTCTAACCCTTAACTTTATCTCCTTGTTTTGGCACAAAACAATCCATTCTGTAAGCAAGGGTCGCACGCTTACAGTACCTCGCCCGTGCAACTTCTTCATCCGGCTCCCTCGCCTTTGCTTTCCTCTACCTTTGCACTTGATCAATGCCGAGTCACACACTAGACTTTTTCCCTCTCATTCTCTCTTCTTCTGCTCGCACACGATACTTTTTTCCTCTAAATTTTAGCAATTTTTTTCAATCACATATGAATTTTATAAACTCAATTTATAAATGAGCCGAACACAAAAAAAAGTTTGTTCGTTCGTGTTCGGCTCAATTTGACTTAAAATAGCTAAATAATAAGTAAATAATATTAGTATAATATTTATATATTTGCTTTTTATGCTATATTTAAAAAATATTTAATTGGGTTAACTTTTTAATTAATTTGAGCTAGGTTTACGAATGAGAAAAAAAAATTCTGCGTTGGATATGTAAATACATAAGAACCTTGTGGTATGTCTATAAATGTCCTGACCCTCTCTTCCGCCTCATGGTCTTGCCAATTTTTTTGGGTTATATACCTAAATGCATTGAATTGGGTGGTATGTATGCAAATGCCTGCAAAGAAATGTTCCGCGGTCCTACTCTAGCTTTCCCTCTTGCCTGATTTCCTTGCGATCTAGCCGAACCTTCCCTGCTGAGTTTACTCCCACATTTGGAATAAAGGAATGAATACTCAAATTATTCTTTTTAAAAGTGAATCAGAGTTGCTTAGAAGCCACTCATGATTAATGCGGGTGTGATGTGATTACATGGAAGAAAAAGTTGGGTTTTAATATCTCTTAGGAGAGTATTAGTATAAAAAACTTAATTTTGGTAATTTAAATATATTATTTGATTTATTAATTTTTAATTATTTTTTTTGAGTTGAACATGAGTTTAATTCGAATAAATGAGTTAAAATTAAACCGAACACGAATAGACTAATCACGAGCCTTTTCGAACGCGAACGATAAAAGATTTAAACAAGCTGAATACGAATAAGGCTCCGTTTGGGGCCGCGTTTTTCGAGCGTCCTGGCCCCAAACAACGAAGTTTATTATTTTTGTCACGCTTTTCGTTCAGCGGTAGCGGCTTATTGCCGCTAAAATAGTATGAACGCGGGCCGCGGGATCGACCCTGTGGCTCGACATTCTGGAGCGTTAATACCCCCTTTGCCCCTCGCTCTCTCAGTTTGGCGCCCTAACCTATTTCGTGAAACCGCATGGATCGACCGCCGCCGCTCCCTTGCTTATCGCGAAGGCTCCCCCGCTCCTTCCCCTGCTCATCTTCCACCGCCGTCGCTCGAGTGTGGAGTCCTGATCGAAGCCGTTGCTCTTAATCGGCATTTCTCCTCCTAATTATTTCTTCATATTTTGTTGTTTGAATATGATTTGTGATTGAATTGTGGAGTTCTGCTCGAAGCCCATGCCACTTCAGATCGCGAGTTGATTACTTCTTGGATCTCAAAGAATATTAATGACCTATCTCTATCTCTATCTTTATTTTTAATTGGCCGATGAAGATGAAATCAATCTCATAAAGAGTTCATGTCCTGCTTTAAGAATGGTTTAGATGGTTGTTTTGTGATTGTAATTTTGCTAATTTATTTTCTTGCGATAGTGTTAAAGAGCAGCTTGGATAGCCCATCCATGTGGGAATGGCTGAATTTTTTTTGCATTAATGGTGAAACGCAGATAAGAAAGCGTGCTTCTTTTCTATTTCCAATGACGCAGTTTAGGCATTAAACATGCTGAAGAATTTTTTTCCTAGCATGAATTCGTGGGATCCATATTTTCTTCTTTTCATCAATTAATGGATCCCAATTAATGGTTTATGAGTGTTATTGCCTAATGATTCTAGTCGTTTATGATTGAGATATGATTGAAAAGTTATTTTAACCATCTGAAATTTGCAAGAATTGCTAAGGGATGATGATACCATGTACATTATATTCACCTAAACTTTGTTAAATGCATGGTAAAGTTAGCAGTTGGTCGAAGTTATGACTTCATTTCTTCTCTCGGTGAGATTCATTCTTATGATACACTCTTAATTATTTCTTCTCTCGGCGAGATTCATTCTTATGATACGCTCTTAATTATTTCAGCATTTGGAAAGTTTGATATGAAACATACAATTCTCATGTATCTACATACCCAACAACCATATGTCATAGTCCTTTACTTGCATATCACCTAGGGATAGAAATGCAAATTTAGTCATCATGTGGATATATAGAAATTGAAATGGTTGAGAAATATTCAGTAAGGATGGTACAAGCATACCACCTATATGATGTTTTTCTTCTCCTTTATCTTTGTTTGGTTTTTCTTCTACTTTCTAATTGATTTTACTGTTGCGTTTCATGACTTTGTTTTGATATATTAATATCATGGATAATAAACCTAAAGAGGTTGCTACACCCGCATTATAGAAGAAAGAAACGAAAATATTATTTTGCGATATTTGCCTTAAAGAGATTGAACGGAGAAATAGGCCTACGACCTATTTCAATAAAGATGGGTGACAAAATATTATCAGAAATTTCAAGAAATGTACAGCAGAGAGTATGACAGGTTGCAAATGAAGAACAAATGAGATCAACTGAAAAATGATTGAAAAATTTGGAAAGAATTGAAAATGGGATCTACGGGTCTAGGTTGAGATCCAGTAATACGAACAGTTGATGCATCTGATGAATGGTGGGCTGAAAAACTTGCAGTGAGCATTTTTTGTAAACTTTGTTATTTTGTAACTTTATAGTTTATTCTTAATTGAGTGTTTATCAATTTCCATGTAGGTGGTGCCCGCTGCAAAGAAGTTTAAGTTTTCTGAAATTGAGCCTAAATTTGAGG